TTAATTTTTCAAAATGAAAAACAAATGTCTATTTGCAGAGCACGCGCAGTGAGCGCAAAGCCTACTTTTTAATGAAGTTTTGACTTCGTCAGCAAATTTGCCGTAAGCGCGAACTTTGTTTACTCAGCGTTTTTACTCAACGGCAGGAAAGTTTCAAATTGAAATACGCAGTTGAAACTCAGCTGGCGAGCATATCCGCGCTCGGGATAAAGCTCTCCCTGGATCAGCCAGACCGACTCGTAACGTAATTACGAGGGCGGTGATGGGTAAAAAATGTGCTATTCATCGCAGCCAAAGTTGCTCAATACAATGAAAATGGACCGTGCAGCGAGCCACCTTATCGATTGCCACTTGAAATTTACGTTCGCGGCACACTCGGCTATGCCATAAAGCCGCGGTGGGGCTTCATTCAGTCGCGCAGCAGCGCAAAATATTTCAATGGGACGAACAATGAGGAGCGCGCGGCTGCTCCCAATGCCGAATGAGCCGCGATGCACGGCTGCGCGAGCGGACTCGGCCGAATTGCGAAATTTATCGCGTCGGGACAATAAAATAATCGAGCAAGTCTGGCCGTGCTCCGCCTCGCCGTGGCCGCGGTCGTAGTGAGCAATTACCGTCATTAGCGTCGTTAGCCTCGTCATCGGCGTCATTAGGCTAATCGGCCGGGGACATGCGAGCGGCCCGACACGCGCGCGCACAGCCGGCTGCCGAGTCGCGCGAAGAGGGCCGAGGCAATCTGCCGTGCCCCGTGCGAGACGGCCTGCAGTTTATTCGTAGCCGGAAGCAAGAAGCAGCCTGCGCTATCGGCCCGGCCATGCTAATGTAGCCCATAGTTTGCGCAAACTCTGTTATAGCGCTCTGCGCTACATGAGCTTCTTGTCGCGCGCCTTCGACACAAGTATCGCTCCACGTTGTCTCTGCCAGGGCTGGGCATCGATGGTTTATATCGAAAAAAAGAGCTCCCTAGAGCTGACTTCAGTTTGTACACTGAAAGAGCTCTTTCCGATTTCGTTCGTTCCAAGGTTCCACTGAATTATGAATTCTAAAAGAAAATACTTTTCGCATATTAGCATGTAAAAAAATTTTATTTATATATACAATGTATTGTAAAATTGTTGAAGAGTAATAAATAATAAATAATAAAAACTGTAATTAATTATAAAAAGTAATTTTTTAGTAACCTTGTTTTCACTCTTTTCTGATTTTATAATTATTAAAAATGAATTATTCTCTAGCATTTACAGAGTATTATTTAATTTGTCATTAAATATTGAAATGAAATTATAAAAATTATTTAAATACCAGACTCCCATTCTATTATGATATACACGACTTCCGCAATTCGCAATGTAAACAAAACAACCCGAGCCTTCCCGCCGAATGACGATCGAACGAGCGAATTTGTTTCTTTTGTGCCGGCTAGAGAGCAACATCGTGCTTTTATTAGTATCAGTTGTTTTTTTAACGGTTATAAAGAGTGTTTATTGTGCATAAAAATTGTATTAATTTCAGAAATTGACATTATTGATATTATTGTGTAAATCCATTTTTTGATATTTAAAAAGTTATACGTACATTGCAATACACGTAAGTAATAAACATTTCTTTAATAATATTTATAATTATATATACAATTAATGCAGAGTCAAAGAAAGATTCATTTATAAATTTTTTTCAAGCGTTTTACGAATACGTAATTAATTGGTAAATATTAAAATATTATCAATGCATTTTTCAGGTTGCAAACGATCTATCGTTCATAAAGGCTTCTTTAAGACTTTTATATTTTTATTCAACTTTAAGGTAAACTAACAGTGGTGAGTAATTTTAAAAAATTAAGCCAATAATGTAAATGGTGTTTTAATAGTAAGCTTTTTTTCTCGTCTTATTAAATTCAATTTATCTTTGCTCACTGTAGCATTCAATCGAACATCGATGCTTCAAAGAGAGGAGCGAGGAAGTTTGTTATACAAATTAGCTGTCAAATCAGGGTTATGAAAACTGTCGAATTTTACATGAATAGTTTGTCTTCAACGATGTTTCTTTTTATTTGCGATGTCTTTCACATCAAGGGCATGAATGTTCGTTTCGAGCTTAGGTACCGATAAACGTTCTATAAAAGCTATATCGTGTGTTAAAATGGTAGCGCTATCAGCAATCGAAGTATAAATTAATTTTGATTTTCCATTTACTGAAACCATTATCTAAATATGTTTCGGCAAGTATACGAAAGTAGTCACAAATTGTCATTTTAAGTAATATTCACAAACGAAATTTCATTTGAAGTTTAATTATTTCTTTTCGAAGTTGATACTTTCTTTAGTTGCGGTGATTACACCCATGCTGAGTATACTATTTTCTTAGCAATATTTTCTAATGTAACCTTTGTCTCAATAAAAATAACTCTAATATTCATGTTTAGCTAAACTCCATCTTAGATTGAATGGACTATTTCCTTAGTTTTATAAAACATTTATGATATGCTAAAATTGACATATTTATTTTTTATGTACTCTTTGCACGGAGATCATCTGGACCGAGTATTGGACTGTCAATCGCTGTTTATTTTGGTATAAATTGTAGAATGAGTATTTCTTCTGAAAAAGGTATGGAAAACTGTTTAATGGACTATTTCCGTAGTTTAATAAACATTTATGATCTGCTAACAATTGCAAATGTATTTTTCATGCACTCTTTGCACGGAGATCATCTGGGCCGACTATTAGACTGTCAACAGCTGTTTATTCTAGGATAATTGTAAAACGAATATTTCTTCAAAAAAAAGTATGGAAACCTGTTGAATCAACTATTTCTTTAGTTTTATGCAACATTTATGATCTGCTAATAATTGAAAATGTATTTTTATTGTATTCATTGCAAGGAGATCGTCTGGACCGACTTGCATATTGTATATTTAAACAATTAAGCAAATAATAAATATAAATTTAAACATCTAAGCAATTTAGCTATGTGTATTTTTCATAATTTTCGATATTCGGTTAAATACAATAAGATTAAGTTATTCGATAAATATATATATATATATATATATATATATATATATATATATATATATATATATATATATATATATATAATTTTTTATAAGAGTATTTAGGAATTGTTATCAGAATATATATATATAATTTGATCAATGTTGAATAAATAACGTAAGAAAAATGTGTATTTATTATAAATTATTATATAAATTATAATTATACTACTCCTATCATAATTTCTTCTAGATAATCTATAACAAAATATAATAACTGATAGTATCATTTTATTTTTTTAATTAGAACATTTTTATAATAACAATAATAATAACTAGTAATAAATTTTCTGCATTACACAATTCAGTAATTTATAAAACAAAAATATAAACAATAATCCAAATAAAGTAAATAAAATTATTAATACAAAAATTAAGATATACAAAAAAAAATTAGAAAATAATTGTAATTTAATACTTTTTACATGCAAGTGCATGACAATCTTTTTTTTCTCAATTCAAAACTGAACGGAACCGTGGAACGAGTGGAATCGGAAAGAGCTCTTTCAGTGTACAAACTGAAGTCAGCTCTAGGGAGCTCTTTTTTTCGATATAAACCATCGATGCCCAGCACTGGTCTCTGCATAATTTTATTATGTAAGCATTTCGTGTTCATTCGCTTACTTCTGCTCTGGTCGTTCACCTAACGTTATCAAAACTTTACAGACGAAATATTTCAAAGCTGAGATTCGAAATGCTTCCTAAAATGCTGCCACGGCGACATTGACGTAGTCTGAAAGACCAGCTATCGAATGATTATCGTCTGTTTGCTGATTATTAAAAAGTCATTATTTCACGAGCCCACATTTCGTATCATCGAAACGGGATCGCGTATCAAGCAGCCGCAAATATTCGTCGTGTATAAATCACAAATAACCCAGTTTCAGCATTTGAATGAGAGCTCGCGAGAAGTGTAATTATATTTGTGCATGAGCGCATTTGAGGTTATATTACGCGTAAATGTGCTAAGGGTGCTCAAGCTCAAGTCCTGTTGGCTGATAACTCAGCCGGAATGATATTCCGCGCTACGCCAAGATTTACTTTGATGCTTTCAATCACTAACATCAGCTCTTTTATCAAACAACTTAGTTTCCACTTCCCCAGTGGAAATTTCATTGTGCATCATGCGAGACTAATCTCTGTTTATGCGATGTCCTATTATACTACAAGATTTATTTCAAAAACCTTCAAATCCATTTTTTTGCAATTACGCGCGATTATGTGCTTCCATCAAGTCAATAATCAAACGGAAATACGAAATTTGTATGTATACCATTTCGTGTACTGACAATACAGTAATTATGTAGTATTTAATTGCTTTTTACATAGCAACGATATTTTATTACATTATTATGACCATTCATACTATTATTACAATTATTTATTTGAACGAGTGGTATAATAATTGCATTTTCTTCGAATTGGGTATGATCTCAATCAAAAGCACAGTATAAATGATGTATTAGCTGCGCATAATGATTTACATATAAGATATTATTATATGTATATATAATAAAATGATGTATGTATCTTGCTGAATCTTAATTTTTCGTTTGATGTACCAGATCAAACGAGCCATCCTCGTACACTGGCGTTACAGTGATATTCACATGAACGGGCAAACAGTAATTATATTATTGTATCGTTTCCGACACAAGAAAATTCTCCTTTGTGCGACCGATAAAATATAAAGAACAGGCAACTCGATTTAGTTTGATTCAATCTACTTTTCACAGATACAATTTTTTTTGCAGTATCATCGTTAAAAGTACGAAATAACTCACTGAAAGCTATCCCATCCATCATTTATTCATTAGTTTTTCATAAGAAATTCCGAATTAATAATCTATTGATCTATTCTATAGAAATAAAAGATTTGCATGAATTCATAACATTTTTCCGGTAGAAGATTCTCACAAACTAAATTGGATCTACTTTTGTGTTCCAGAGCATGCATGTAAAGATTTCCGATGTAACATGAAGGAATTCTGTATCGATAACGATCTTGTTTGCGATGGTATCAATCACTGCGAAGATGGTTCCGACGAGGCAACTTCCACCGTCTGCGTCAGTAAGTATCTTATTATACATCAAGTTTTCCGCATCCAACTCCAAACTAAATGCTACAATGAACTGAAATTCGTAAGCACATTTTATGTATAGCGTCGCGTGTAAATTTACTGTTCTCGTTGCTTTTTCGACGCGCAAACGCAACGACAAATGCTCGTGCACAAGCACGTACAAAGTTTCAGAACGCCACGCACAGCAAGGCATATAACATCGCACAGACAAAAGCACATCGTTATAGTGGCTAATTAATTTAACACAAGCTGCTTGTTAGGTTGACGCCGTCACGAGCATCCTGCACCAATGTTCTGATAAAATATGAAAATTGCAATTAATTTTTTCTTTGCTAATCCTTTTAAAAACAAAATTACTCACGGAAAACTCAATCGATCGAATTGCGCAATTTTTCACTACAATGTACATACGCTGCTTGCATATTTAATCTCGACGAATCAGCACGAATACATTCATCTATATTCATGCACATTCGCACCTTCCTACAAAGTTTGATAATCAGATTACGAAGACATTGACAATAATTATTGCTCGTTAAACTGATTTTTAAAATAAGATCAACGTTGTTCGAAAAGTAGAACAAATCAATGAAAATTTTAACTACGTATATGTAGTGAAATATTTCTCACAAAAAGTGTACGTGTCTATATTAATTTTAAAACAATCATGCTTGTTCATTGTAATGACAGAGCGAGAGAGAGAGAGAGAAATGTCAACAATCTTAGGTGCGTGGAAAAAAACGAATGATGACAATAATGAAAAAAGCGAAACTCGTGTGTTCTTTCTTAATTTTTTGATTGCATAAAGATATTCATTAGATTTCGTTGTATTACAGACACAGAAGCGTCGACAATTCTAGGAATGGAGAGTGCGTGGTTCGCGATAGTGATGGTGTGCATGGTGCTGTCAGTGGCGGGCCTCGCAGCCGCGGGGATGCTCTGCTTCTACAGGCAGCGCGTCACCACCCCGAGGCACCCACACAACGCTCACAACGCCCAAGGACATCCACCCGTTAGCTATCCTTGTAAGTATATCTTCTTTTTGTCCATTTACGGTGGCCCTTTTTATCATTTTAAATGTCTTTTTTTGATTGACAAAAGTGCAATATAACTTAATGCGTATAATAAAACGTATTCTGATATAAAATATTATATATATATATTTTTTCTTTGATTTACGCCCGTTACTGCGTGAAAGTCAAGTGCAAAACACAAATCGAATCGCAGAGAAAACTTTGATACTTAAAGTACGCGGTCGAATTGTGTAAACTTGTAAAAGAAATTTATACTCTGATATTCAAACTTTCGCTGAAATGGAAGCTGAGATCAAGTAAGGAGACTTGCGCCTTCGCTACTATTAATATTTGTCAATTAAACATGCTGTTATTTTGATGCATAATCTCCTAGAAAGGACAAATATTTGCTTATTTCAATTGAACTCCTGTTGTTTTATGTAAGCAATCTCCAAAATCAATAACGACTATTCCAATAGCAAATAGCATGATTCTACTGACATTCGATGACGTATATGTATGTGTATACATATTTGATCTATGTTATTTGAACTACTAGTCATTTGAAGTAATGGCGCGATTTTAAACTTAATATTACGATGGATGTTCAACGTTGATACGCAGATTACTTATCGTATCTATAAGCGTGGCATACCGAAGCTTTTATATTTCACATAAACTACATTAAAAACTCTTTCTCCGATCCATCATACTCACTACTGCAAATCTAAGAATGTTTAAAGTTTTGCTTGAATTAAAGAAAAGATCAATCAGAAAATGAAGCTCCCTTTCGTCAAAGCTATATATGACTTTGATCGGAGTAATATTTCTTTCTTCGAATTATAATTTCCACAATCACTATTTATAATCTGAAAACTAGTAACTTTTTCTGCACCCCCCAAACAATACAACTACGTTACCAAAGTTAGAAAAAAAATAAAAATATTTTTTTGCATAAACCCTTAGATTCGCTGGATTCTCTCGTTCCTCGAATATTTAGAAGTCCGATTTACAAAAAATTGTTGTAAAGTAGAAGTAGAAAGTTAACACGCTTTGAAAAAAGTTATTACACGTTTGAAAAAATATGTTACCTCGTTGATTTCAATAAAATTTTTGCGCAATAACAACTTGTAATTTAAAATATGGTAACCATTTTTACACTCCCAAAGCAATATAACGATGTTATTATAGTTAGAAAAGAAGCAAATGTTTTTGCATAAATATTACGAAGAAAAATAAACTCCGGCGTTCTCAGCCCTGAAATATTCGCAAATCCGCTTTTCGAAATTTGCATTTTTGAAGTAGAATGAAAATACCCAAAAGCTTAAAGAAGTAATGCACGTTCCAGTGAAAAATGTAGTTTATCTCGACGGCACATTGAATGCTTAGCTTCGGAGCTCAGCACAAACCACATCACATTTCCGAATTAAATGAAGCGTATCGACTGGATAACAGTCGGGGTATTGGAAAATTTATTGAAGTTTAGCTCGAAAAATCTGCTGAAGTACGTTTCTTCTCGATGTATCAATTAAAAATACTTTATCTCGAGAACACATTTCAGTAATTACTATATAAAAGTAAAAAAAAACTGGACAAGTGAAAATAGACTTTGTGCTTTGATACCTCGGGTAGGCTAACAAGCTTACAACGTTTAGATAATAAGATTGTAATAAACGTTGACACAAATGCATAATTGAAAAGATTACAGCTGAAAATAAAATAAAAGCATAAACGCTTCGCCACTTTTATGCCCGAGCAATGAAGCGATCACGTTGCCCGTGAACCTCCATTCGGAGCGGTTAGTACACTTTCGCCGTCTGCATTTATGTAATGGCTGAAGCTTTTACGATTATCTTGATTTTCATTGCAAGAGTCAGCAGCAGTCTGCTATTTATAAATGGCTATTGCCATTACTCGCTTGAATTAACCAGAAAATTGAATAAAACTTCTCCTAAATTAAATTTCCTAAAAGCAATATTCATAATTATTATTCACTGGCTGCTAAATATTCAATATTGCTTTGTTTTATTCACTGAGGTTCATGAGATTTATTGAATAATCGCCGGTAAAGCAAATTTATCATTCGACGTTACCTCATTCTTTCGCAAACAACACTTTGAATTACAAACGAAGTACTGTACGTTTTTTCTCAAAGCAAAGATTTTCTTTTTGTTCGCGGTTAAAAAAAGGTCCCATGGATAAAACAATGTGCAGCTCTCGGGTAATAATCTCGTTTCGTTTTCCGAAGAGACGTGAAAAAGACGAAAAAAATGGCGCGTCTGGAGGCGCGCGAGCTCCGAGCTTTTTCATTCGCCTCTTCAAACATTCAGCTTCCATAAAGGCTGACACGTTTAGCGAAAATTCGAATGATTCAGGGTCGCGAAGCGAAGAAGCCAGAGCGGCGAAAGAGCGCAGACGGCCAATGTTTAGCGAGTCGCGGAACGGCGGCGGCGGTGGGCAACAGCAGCAGCAGCAGCAGCAGCTCGCTCGTGGTATCTGGCCCCGTTCCAACGTCGGCGGAGAGGAGGCGGCGGTGGCGTGTTTTGTCGTCTCGCGTTGAAAATGGAAATGGCCACGGCTGCAATTTATTTCCTTCGCGTGCTGCTGCTACCGGCGTTGCTGTTTGTGTCCTTTTTTTTTCTTCTGTTGCAGCTGCCACCGCCCGTTTTCCCTTGCGGCTCGGCGCTACCGGGAAATTGCTTAGGAATTTCGACGCGTTGCATTTGAACTTCCAAGGTGTGTGTATAGGCATGCCTGCGTGTACGCTCACGCGTCAAGAAAGCATGCTCTAACAATGCATTTTATTATTCGTGCTTCGTTTTGGATTTTCACTCCCGTTCAGATTCCATTTGGTTTTTACTTTTTCCTATTCCAGCTTCAATTGCCTTTCGCCTTTCTTTCAAACTGTTTACTGGCGCGAGTAACTTTTCAAAGCGTTTGGTTTTTCTAGACTTTCTTCAATTGCAAACCATTTCAAGCTTAAATGTAATGAACATCAATGGCAGTCAAGTCTTCTAGTAATGGCCGCAAATATAATTGAATGAGTTCATGTATCATTTTTTATCGCAGTAACTTGAAATGCTCATCAGTTTAAGTAGCCATCTGGAAAGAAATTGTTGCAATAATGCTATTCAAATTTTACGACAAAATCATTTTGTTGAATTTGAACCAACTAAATAACGTGATGATAAAAAAGTCTTGTTGACATCCAATTGTAAACAAATTGATTTATCATATTTTTTTGGAATGCAAATTGTTTTGTGTTTTGGAGAGGCATTTGAAGAAGAATCCACACTCAAAACATAAGTGTTTCGGTCGTAAAATGAAATTTGTCGATGCATAACTTATCGGTGCATCACATACAAAAAATGAAGGTGACAATCGAATCGCTAAAATTACTCGCACTCGAAAAAATACAGATCGTTGAGCTTGGCTGAAAAAAAAGCGAACAGCTATTGAAGCTTATCGATGCGAGAAGACGGCCAGACCACACGCGGCAAACGGGAGCGAGTGCGATACTCGAGGTGAGAATGAATCGGGTACGTGAGCTTCCAGCGACGTCAGAGAGGAGATCGAAGAGGAAAAAAGCAATAAGATTGTTCTGGGAAATTGATCTACTAGCGCGTCGAGTGTTCGACGAAGAGAAGTAGTAACATCGACTCCGACGGAATCTGACAATTGGACCCAATTAATTAAGATTTCCAGTAGCGCGAGTGAACGCGCCAACCGGAGTCATTGGCAAACTGGGTCACCCATTCACCTGCCTCCAATGCGCACATCCGAATGCACAATGTAGGTCTGGTCCGCTTTTGTGTCGTCGCCATCCTATGTGAAAAGCAAGAGTAATGTGGCTCACCGTACACTCGAGTCCTCCTCGTCCTCGTCTTCGTCGGTCGCTCGAGCTCGCGTCTCGAAAGTTGCATGTATGCGCGAGGAAGTTTTATGTGTCCATTTGCGCGTGACAACGACTTATATGCGTATACACGCGGCGCACCGTAGGTTTCTTATTCGTCGTTTAACCAATGACCGGAAGTCTCGCTTTTGATTTCCTTGAACGAACTGCCACGCTTTCGCGAGCATATTCATGAGCTATTGCTACTTGTTTTCTTGTTTTTCCGTATTTTCTTCATTTTCGTTGAGAGATCGCGAGCTTTCGAAGTTCAATTTGTTCATGACGTTGTTTAACTTTGAATGACCGTTTAAATATTCATCTGATTTCAAATTTGTTATTTTAAAATTTGTTACATTCATTATCAATTGTTACCCTTCTTTAGCCGCACAACCGTAGAATCAATGTTACGTTTTAGATAAGATATAATATCGCTCGTTTGATTTGTCCAAAAAACATGCGATTCAGAGCTGGTCTGTTAATAGAGTCATCTAATATTAGAAAATTACTTTACGGTTTGAAGCTATAAAATTCCTGCTGCCGGATCCAAATGATCATAACTTGCACGAGAAAGCATAGCGAAGAGGAGGATCCAAAATGCAGCAGTGATAACGTCGACTCTTATTTAATCGAAGCGTCTTTGTCCACCTTCTTAGCCGTTGTTGGTCTCTTGGATAAGTGATGTGAGGCGAACACCGAGCGAATGATCATCAATACAGCACGGACCGCTGTAAGAAGACACCGCAGGAGATAACGAGGCTAAGTTGGCCGCAGTTCATCCGAGATATCAGAATCAAATCGATCATAGGCAGCCGATTGAGAACGTACTTTTAATAAATACGTGCCGTATGTTACATGATTATATACTCATAGTTTAATTAAAATTAGTAATTTTTATAAGAATCCTGTAATAAGACGTGAGAAGTTTGTTAAAAGAAAGTAATGATTTATTGAGTGAGAAAACACACTGCCAATCGCATTAGCGGATTGCTCTTTAAAATGTTTATGTAACAACGAATAATTATTTCCGCCCACTCACACGAAATCAATATGCGGTAACAAGTTAAACATTAACGCGCATCAACAGTTCAACAAATATTGTGGAATTTATGTGACGTATGAATAGATGGAGACAACAAATAAGAAAAATGTTATTGAAAATCATTCAATAAATTTATTAATTTAAGAGCCCAATAATCATAATTCTGCAAATAAAAAGCCGCACTCATATTACGCGTGTTATCATAATAATTGCGCGTGATAAATTTGAACAAGCTATCATTGAAAAGAAAAAATATTTGTTGAAATTGTAACGCACTTCTGATCAGAGTGATTAAAGATTAAATACAAATAGATTGATATATTTATGCATGTTATTGATAGCAATTAAATTTATTGCCTTATATGCGAAATGTGTCGTCACAACCATAGTTGGATATAGCTATATTAACTACAAAAATGATTTAATTACCAATTTATTATATCTGAATTTTGCAGACAATCATGTCGTACTTCGTATATCGATATGATATACGATAATAATACATAATTAGAATAATTAAATATTTGAGTAAGTCGTGACTCATTTTCTTTTTAAAAAAACATCAAAACCATATCTAACAGCGCCTTGGTAGTAATAGATTTCTTATCTTTCAATATATCTTATTAGGATTACGTGTAATAAGAGTGTTAATATTGCTATTATTTAATAATTACATGAGAGTCTAAAATAATCATCAGTTTTGTTACGTACAGATGGTTAAACGTTCATGTCTTATCAAGAATGCGACAAAGTCATTCGCAATTAAGTAGCACGTGTATAATTGAGTTTTTCAGTATTCGTCGTGGCGTACTGAACTTATAAGTATTAATTTGCTGTCAAGTTTAAATTGCCATGAGACACGCAAATCTCGCATTGCCATCGGGAAATTTATACTAAAGCTTATCTCCGCTTAAATTCGATTGCATACTGTTTTCAAGTTTGATCTTTGCTTCTCCCTCTCTCTCTCTCTTGCTCTCTCTTTTTATATCAAAGGCACTTATCTTGTTCGCAATTGTAGTATCAGTTTACATTTTCCAAGAAAAAAGCACTGTTTTGATCAATAGATAGTTGATGTACATATCTGCTGAAACTCGTTTTAAACAACATACACGAGAGAGTGATTTATGTCAATGTAGTCAATTGTGATATCAACACAATTAATTCTCGGAATGATATTGTCAGTCAAACGCGTTGAACACAATTTTTTTTAAATTCGTACAATATAGATTTTTGCACGAGTACTTAATAGTGAATAAGGTATTCAAGCTGGGAAAATATTGGTAAGTCCGTAGCACGTGACAATTAACAATCGAGGCGAAGCCGAGCTTGTCAAGCACGTGCTATCAGTTTGCCAATTTTCCGGCCTGCCCGCGCGCAGTGAGACCGAAGTTAGGATGTTACCGACTGAGCTAGGCTTTTCCTCGGTTGTCAATTCTCACGCCTATATGAACTTATACCAATACTGTCCCGTATGTAATTTACTATCAATTCAATAAAACTGTATCCCTTATTCCCATACACCATTAAATTTACTATATATTTTTGTAGCTACACACCGATGAATTCGTAAAGTTAGGATCTTGGTAACATCAGGCATGACTATTTAATGTCATTTTATTTTTTGAACTTATATAATATGTGAATAAAATACTATTATTCTCCTTAACAATTTTAAATAGAAAATATTCTTTCATAGAAAATGGAAGTTAGATATAATTCATAAAAACAATTTCGTTATTGAATAACTATGTTTATATAAATAAATTTATATGCATCAGTAAAATATTAATAATGGATCAAATAAATTTTGTATAAGCTTATAGTTACAAAAAGAAGTACATTTTTAACAAATTCATGCTGCAGGTCGCGACCGCGACTAATGATACACATACATATATCAATTATTCATATACTAGAAATCATCAGCGCGCTAAAAAAATCAAATATTAGTGTAATAATCCAAACATCTAAAAAATTACTATAGTATTATCGCCGTTATATTATTTAATCGATAAAATATATTAGAACCCAAATGTTTCAACAAACTTACCTGGTTCGGAAACGTTAGCAATAATTACTTAAAATTTTCTTATTAAGTGACTCAGTTGGATTGGATACAATAAGTAGAAACTAACACGATACACTGATTACCACGTGACTACCTTTTAGCCAATCAAAAACACGAATAAACTAACTTCACTATATCATCATGTATCTCTTTTTTTAAGAAGGTTCTCCTGTTATAAGATGGATACGTGTGTAAAACACGTTTAACCATTGTGTATAATGTGAACATGAAAAAATCGTTTGATGGAACTTGAATGTTAAAATTCATTTAAACATAATAATTAATCATGCTCGATAATCGAGGCAACTAAACTTGTAAGTTAACATTTTTAATAAGTAAAGTTAATTTTTAATAATGATATTTTGTGCTAATGTATAAAATTATTAATATGAACATGATTAACAAATAAATAAATTATTGTAATAATATATATTTAATAACTGCACAGAATATTGCAACCTTAAAATAGTAATATTAGTCGAAGTAATAGAACAATTTATTTCTTAACTAAATATTTGATATTCTTTTATTAATTTCATCATATAATATATTAATTGAAATAACATGTCAATAAAAAGTAGTCCAGTACAGAACCTTCGGAAACCAATTCACTAGAATTGAAACCGAATGTCACTTGAATTTAATCGGATATTTATTAAATATCAGTAGGATCCCGTAGACTTATCCTATCGATTCGACTGTGTAATCATGAAGGGTTTATATATACGTTGATCAAAAAATATAATTAGTAAATTATTTAAGTGTTCGATGACGAAACTGATAGTACAGTAAAATTCGCGTGATTTTTGCTAGATTACCCGTGTCTCGTTCACTCGCCATTGCAAACACTTACAGAATAGAATAAGACCTGGGATAAATGGGGCGCGTTCGACTTAGCCATACATTCTTATCGACTGCTCGATTCCCATTTAAAACAATGCTTAGGATCAAGGGATTGGGCGGACGGTTCGTTCTCTCATTCCACCTGCATTGATTTACATCTGCATAGTTGTACAGTAGGTGCAGTTCCGGCCAAATCGAAGGCGCCCGTAATCTATTAATAGTAGCTGTCAGTATTCACGCGCGAACGATCTTTTCTGTGTTATCTCAATCAATGAACTCTTATCGGGGCCGCCTTAACGATAACAGCACTCCGAGTCAGCCCGGAAACTGATGCCTCTACATAACGAATCAGTGAAGCACGGGACACTTTCATTTTTGGTGTGTATTAGACGCTGCTGTACAACGACATAGTGGTGGCGGAGGAGTGACCTCAACGGTATCGTACTCGCGACGGTTAGTCGAGTGGGAATAGCCTTCATGAGCGGACGAACTCGAGCGCGAAGCCAACGACGCAGATATGGCCAGGCGAGCATTTCGCACTCTCGTCTTCGGACTTCTCGTGACGTCGACACTCCTCTTCGGCTACATCCTCAGCGCAGATTACTCACACAGTTCGAGCAAGTCTGCCAAAGACTACTTCATTGGGCCATGCCTCATCAATACCAATCAGACTTGCCCCGACCCGGAGGTTTCCTTCTTCCTCTTCACGCGCCAAAACTTGCGACTCGCCCAACAGATTCTTGTCAATGCTACCGAGTCCAATCTCGATCAAACGTTTTTCAACTCCACATTGCCGACAAAAATTATCGTGCATGGATACAACTCAGACATGGAACTCGACTCGCTGATCAATATCCGCGCCGAGTATTTGAACAAAGGTCGCAGCAATGTGATTGCCGTCGACTGGCGAAGGCTCGCCGCTGGTCCCTGCTACCCCGCAGCAGTGCACAACGTTCCCCATGTTGGCGAGTGTGTCAGTCAGCTAGTCAACAGGCTCAAGGATCACGGCACCAAGGACATTCACGTCATTGGGTTCTCCCTGGGAGCACACGTACCTGCGTTCACAGCGATCCGCTTGAGGCCTTACAAGCTGCCGCGCATCACAGGGTTGGATCCGGCTATGCCGTTTTTCATTACCGTCAGCAAGGATGAGAAACTTGACTCGAGCGATGCCGAGTTCGTCGATGTTATTCATACCAACGCCTTCGTTCAAGGCAAGATCGAGACCAGTGGCCATATCGATTTCTACATGAACGGCGGCATCAATCAACCTGGATGCTGGGAGAAGAGGAATCCCTTCGGCTGCGATCATCATCGAGCGGCTATGTACTTTGCCGAGTCCATTAACAGTCAAATCGGCTTCTGGGGATGGCCGTGTGCTGGATTTTTCGCTTATCTCATCGGGCTCTGCCAGCCAAGATTTCCCGCAGTGCTCGCTGGCGACCCCGTTGATAAGACTTACAGGGGATACTTTCTCGTCAAAACTAATGATAAGAGTCCCTTCGCGCAAGGCATCTTTGCAATCAATCCAGCCTTCGTCTCTGACGTGCGATTACTTCGGTCAAGCCAGTAAAATATTCAATCTTTGTTTTGATAGTGATCGTTATATTGTGCGTCGAGATTTTCCAAACTGCGTTGGATGATAAAAACTCAAAACTTCATCGATAACGTATTAAAACATAAGCATCAACGTAACTGTATTTTTATTTACCAATAAATAATACCGTCGGCTCATATCAAATCACGAGAACGTTTAATGTATATTGAACTTTCTGATTTTCAATTTCGGCAATAAAAATGTTCATCTGTCGTTGTGCGTTAAAATGAATGCCAACAAGACAAAAAACATCACTAGTGCTACTAAAATTTCAACTTGAAACCGTATGTACGTACATAGAACGCTTATTTGCTACAACATAGTACATCCATCACGTGACCATACCTCAGCCAATCAAGTTACGAATAAAAAGCTTCTATGTGGTATCCATCACCTTTCTGTAAAGGGGAAAGAGGAACACTCGTAGTAACTAGTTGCATACCATTTTGATCCAAATATTGAAATCGAGAAAGCAAACAAACGACGATGGCTTCGTGTTCCTGTATATGTAACAAAAATGCCAATGAGAAAGTAGCCGTGAATAAACAATCCATTAATCGTGACATGTTTGAAACTTCGAAATAACGGTTCGATGAGTAACAGTCAGGATGTGCGTGAAAGTGGCAAATATGTATGTGATACCTTTAATGCGCTGATAGCATTTTGATGTATAATCCCATTTGATGTGAAAGTTAATAACACAACGCGAGAATGTTAAACAATGTTAATGAAATATAGACGAGGAGTTTTGTAATAGGAGCTACGAGTGAGTGATTACTATATTTATTATTGTATCCATGATATCCCATTTCATTTCGATACTTCAATAAAATCGAATACAACATTCATTAATAACATTGTTTTATTCAACGTTCCGTTATCTGAATTTATGCAAACTATAATCAAGTGGCGTTATGATGACTTTTGGTGTTCGTAGATTTTCGATTTGCTATTAAACGTCAGGAATTTTAAAAGGTGTTCGAAGCTTATTTATTGTCGAGAATATTTTGTGATCTTCCGTGCGCAAAGTGCGACGTATCGAAAGAAATACCATATGATGTTCAGGAAAGAGATTCTCGTCTCGTATGACTTTTCAGCTTCGCTTCCCTTGGGCGTAAACGTCACGCCAGACAAGAATCGTTATTGGCATTGTTTGAGAAAAATCATAAAATTTGCTTAGTAAAGCAAAGATACGTCCGAAATGAGAATTCATGGTGACCCGGGGATGGTTTGAAACCTCGAGGTAGTTTCAAGTGAAAAAAAGAGTAGCGCGCAAAGAAAAAGAAATACGAGCGGGAAAGTTCTTGGAGGTTTTTTTTTTTGCGGGAGGTCGAGGGCCCAGCAGCGGCCGTTCACGGAAAATTCTAATGCGATCCCCGAGGGCTCGTCAAGCTACAGCGGGAAGCTCGCGCGGGTCGCTATAAGATATCTCGGCCTGCTCGCGGCTAATAGGTCGGGTAGGCTTGCATTAAAAGTTGATAGTGGGCTCTGTCTGTTTAAAGCTTGTTTTTGCTGCGCTGGAGCGCGCAATTTAAAGTTTAACCTGACGCAAAGGCAAGAATGCCAATCTACCACGCGAGCTTCGGCTCGCTACTTTGCTGCCTGCGCGGGATATCCGAGATCGCCGCTCGACCGACAAGCTCTCTTATAGATCGAGGCTACCGAGGCCGCGGCATTTTCACGGGACCTCGCTCACTTCCGATACAGGAGCTGTCGATCGATACTTCGCCACGATTTCGCTAACTTGCTGCTTTATTGAATTGGATAGCCACTCGATGCGCCGAATTTCCAATTTCGCGCTCTGCCCCGCGCAAATTTAATAGAAGCAACTTTCCTGCAGCCAATTGCGTGCGTGTGCGCGATATATTTGTCACGAATGCCAACATAGCATTTTCCTCGCTTCAGCCGCTCGTGTTTCTTTCATAGTGCCATGCAACTCGGACAAAGACTCAATTATTCATCGAAACATACGTCTCGCGTGGTGTTGATTCAGTTTACGAGTTTTTATTCTTCGAGTTTGCAACCTAGTTCCCCGGTGCGTACATAGGAAGCGTGAAATATCGTGCGTACGCTATACACTTTCCGTCACTTTTATGCCACTGCCAACTTTTTATTTATGACTTTATGAAGATTCCTTTTCGTCGATTGCTTAAAGAAAACATTTGATCCACAGGAAATAATCACTTTCAGCTAATTTCAAGATAAAGCTCGAACAACGTACAAATTGGTTTATAAAAGACTATAGCATTAACAACTTTTATAATGCATACTTTAGATAAGCCCACCGCCTTATCTTTTGTACAATCTATTTAGGCTACGCGACGTGTGCAATATTTAGAATAATCGTGGAAGAGACTCATAAAATAGAGCTTATCTAAATCTATTCAACGACATAATATTATAAGGAACGATTATTACAGATCGTGTGAAACACCACTAGACTAAAGCGGACATTATAAAAGCGTTTAAAATAAAATATTCAGCGATTATATTAATTTAGGAAGTTAAGCTGAGAAATACAAATCAATACTGAATTTATTATATTTTATGTTCACTTTGTTCGCAAGAAATACTTGAAACATATAAATTAGGAATAAACGCGAAGTTAAACAGTAGAATTTTATTATTGCATGTACGGTCAGTCGCAAAAATCGTTATTTTACATGAAAGTGAATGAAAAAGAAATCGGTTTTATGTTCTACTAATTGATTTGAATTCATGTTATTTCTATTAAGGAATGATCGTCATTGATCCTTGTTAGCTCGTAAAATTGTAAGCTGAAAGCTTGCGAGAAACTCACGTGAAGTAATCGCACAAATAAATCGTGATAAGGCATAGCGGCAAAAAAGCTGGCAAAGTACAAAAGCGATGATGCCGGACGAAGTAAGAAGGGCGTGAAGAGGAGCGAGGGAAAGAAAATACAGACAAAGCCAGGGGATAATATTGAAAGACGGAAGCGTGTACATGGCCGTACAATTGAGAGCGCGACGAGATCTGGTTTTGAATGCGACGCGCGACGCGCGACGCCGACAGGTCACAACTCGATATTACTTGTGTATAGCGCGAGCGGCTTGCTTGGAATGCGTGTCGCAGAAACTCTCGAACATATACTTTGCCCGGATTGAAAATCTTGCAAACTAGATTCTCCGGCCGGAAAGAAATACAACAAAGTTATTTGAATATTGCATTTGGTGGAGGCGTAAGCTGTTGAAACACATAATGTCAGCCGGTCGAGCGCCGTAATCTCGTGTGTTTCCGCGCTCTCGCGCAGATTGGTTTCGTTGCAAACTCGCACCCGTCGCGGCTTGTTGGAATTAAGTTGAAAATTCAGTTTGTCGGGGAACTGATCGCTCGTACATAGTTGGCTTGCGCTGTAATTTTCACAGCTTTCAAGATTCTCCCGTAGAGGATCACACACAGAGTGGTTGGGCGTTACGCGCACACAACGCCGCACTGTGTACGCACGCGTACGTGTACAGAGCTCATCTCTCTCCAGCGCGCTCGCGCGTCAGGGAATTTATACTTGCGATGAAATTGCTGCCTATGTACGTTAAGTGTATCCTCAGCATCCGTAAAGCACTTTCCGAATAATCCATAAATCTATTTGACCTAGATGCGCTTGGCGAGGGGCGTAAAAACAATTTTACGCCTCCCCCTACCCGCCTCCTTTTTTTTACGACGCTGATTTTGTTTTACGCCCTGCACGGCTGTTCGCTGCTTTGAATAAGCTTCTTTTTTGGAAGTTATTCTTTACATTTCGTTGCCATCGGCTAATAGAAATGTAATACCTCGATCGTAAAGAAGCCGTGAAAAATTCCCCATTTAAATTTAAATAATCTTATCAAATTGAAATGCATTTGTCCTCGGCCTTTTCGAGAACTAGTTGGCAAAATAAAATGTTTGAACGAGAATAAAATTAGATAGGGCAAAATGATAAACTTCCGCGGAAAAGACATACTTAAAAATTCTCCGGTGGTATGAATAAAGAGAAAAGGGGTTAGCCTTTTAAAGTTCAGATGCTGATTATATGGTAATGCAAAGTGGGTACTTTTCATTCTTCTGAAACTCTGCGCGCGGAGATAATTTCTTGTTTTTCCTAGAGATGCGTTTCAAACAAATTTTAATTAACTGAGAGCCGACCGTGAAATAAGTAATTGCCTGGCGAGTTGTACATTACATAATTATTTTTTGAAGGGACTTAGATTGAAATCTGATACGAGAAGCAATGATTAAATGCATGAATAAATGAACGTCAATCAAAGCTCCGACGTAACGTGTAATTTTGATATTCGTGTGTCGAGGGAAGTGATGGTGCTGAAGGGCATGCATGTACATAATATAGTCGGCATAATTAGCACGTAACCTGGATTCGCAACACTAGAGAATGACGTTGATTGTTAATGTGTTTACAGTGCAGCAGATCTACGGCTCGAACGGGGCGTCAATGGGTATGCCACTGGGAATGACAAATCTAAAGATGGGCCCGTTTATGGGCGGCGTCCAAGGAGCCACAACACTACCCCGGCCGGGAAACTGGCTGCACCCTGCGGGCCTCAGGCACGGGCACAGCGCGGCCCGGGTCCGCCTCTACTGCCAGGCAAAGTGAGAAATCACGGTTCTGACAGGTACATTCCAATGTCCTCTCTGATCTCTTGGCTCAACGAATCGCGAATCGTCAAGAGGTAACAACTCGAAACTCATCTACTTGTTCTTGTTGCAGCGACATATCTTCTAATCAGAAGGATGAATGGTTTGTGTAGGTGAGTTGCCCGCTACTTATACCTTCGATTAACGGGTGTTTGTGCAACGCATCGCAATGTCTCAGCTAATATTTGATATTGTTCGTAAATTTTAGAGGCAGGCCTGGACCAAAGTCCGCAGGGTGTACAAGAGCGGTGGTGCCCTCACCGTTCCCAATCTCGCCGTTTCTCGTCAACGTGGGTGGCTTCGATTCGTCGCTACCTTACTGGAACGCAAACGTCAACACGAAAAACG